TCATTCATTATTTAATGAATGCCTTTCTGATCTGAGGTTGGTGTACAAGCCGAGAAAAATTCAGTAAATTATTTCGGAATCTTAAAAAAAAAATGTTACCAAAAATAAATACAGGATTTGAGGAAAAATTAGCAGCACCAAAATTCATACTTTTATCCGAAATGAAAGCAAAACATCGCGACTTTCTTTTTTTCTTTTCTAATCCAAGAAAGACAATAAAGTTACTAAGACACAGGGGGATGACTGGCTGTGAAAGAATTAGAAACAGAAACATTATTAAAGAGCAAGAAAAAAAGAAGAGTAATCAGGAAGACAATAGATAGCGATTGGCATTGCATTTACCCCAAACAAGACAGTAAAGTCCCTAAGAAACAATGAGTTACTGGATGTGAACAAATTAGAAACAGAAACATTACTAATGAATGATAACAAAAAGAGTAACATGAGTACATTACATAGTGAATGACATCGCACTTAGATTTTAACTGTTAGCATAGAGATTACGGTTACATCTATCGAATTCACCTGTAAAAAGATGAGACCATGTTGCCAATCTAGTACTGCGGTTAAATTCATAAAGTCAAAGGAGCCATAGAACAAACCTTATCAGAACAATTCTCGTGAAAGTATTTATAGAAAAGGCAAAGTAAAACTACATGACGACAGTGGCAAAGTCACTGAAGCCTGGATGCAAGGTCAGTACGTATAACGTTGCAGAATATTCTTTGGATTTTATCAAGACTCTCTAAATATATAGAAGGAGCACCAGATAGATTCGTACATGGATACAGCGACTCATGCATACGGGTACAAACAAAAAGACCTACTCATATATACGGACAGGGTGGTCCGAAAGTCTTGTCACGCTTACATAATATCGTTTTCTACTTCAACGCTCCGTGGGTTATTATCAAGTTTCGCATGAACGATACCAGAATACCCATCAATTAAAGGACGCCGTTCGGAAAGCCTCTGCAACATTCAACAAGACACAACTTCGTCAAATATCACACAGAACATGGCGCCGCATCATTTTGTGTCACGAAAATGATTGTGTTCATACAAACCTTCTCGATATGTGACAGCGTCAATGAAAGTGAATAAATTGGATCCAGTACATGTGCTTTGTATTGTTCTTCTATCGTTCTCATTACTTTTTGGTATGGGGTGACAAGACTTTTGGACCATCCAGTAGTTTAATGCACCCTTTAGAAAAAGAGCTCCCTTTCAAATAATGATTGCAGGCCGTAAGAAAGAATAGATCGGCCGGAACGTGGTCTACAGAAGGAAACATAAAATATTTATAATCCGAACATTTCTTAATTATGATTAATTATAATTAGGAGGCGGGGTGTGATTTATTACGTTAGTACAACCTGTGTGAGAAGAGGTCGGATGAACCTACTGTTGGCCACCATTTTGTACAGGGTGGTCTGGAAAGTCTTGTCCCCCTGCACATAATATAATTTTCTATTTCAACGCTCCGTAGGGTATTATTAAGGAGAGAGTTTCATATGAACGATACCAGAATATCCATCAATTGAAGGATGCCGTTCGGAGAAGAACCTTTGCAACAATCAACAAAGCACGGCTCCGTAAAATATCACACAAGACATGGCGCCGTATCATTTTTTGTGTCACGAAAATGATTGTGTTCATACAAACCTTCTCGATATGTGACAGTGTCAATGAAAGTGAATAAATTGGATCAAGTACATGTGCTTTGTATTGTTCTTCTATCGTTCTCATTACTATTTGGTAGGGGTGACGAGACTTTTGGACCACCCTGTACACGAATAGAAAAACCGACATACATAACTTACATCTACATACAGACCGGTTCATACATACGTACACAGACAGTTTTGATTGATTTGCAATGCTTTCTTTTGAGGCTTATGAAGATTTCGAGGTCTATTTTAAGCCGAAACTTATTTGGGATTGTAAGAATAACTCTCTTCTGTGAGTGAATACCGCATTAAAATTTCTTTTTTAAAGAATAACAATGATTTTCTAGATACACGTCATACTATTTAGCCCATAGATCAAAACTGCACAAACCTAACTTTCCACACCGGCCTAATATATTCCAAATTCCCACTCCTGTCTCACATCTAACTAAAAATATTAACCAATTAATTACGCCATATATACCTAACAAATACGGCATTAAATTAATCAAAAAACCTAATAAAACTGAATTACTAAACCGGGTCATTTAGTATTCAAGCAGAAAACTATTTTGAAAGCTAGCTTGGTGCTTAAGGATCAGTTGAACAGGGTTGAGTGTGAACTCGATTATCGTATATTTCCGCATATAAGACGACCATTTCACATTAAAATACAATATTCCATTCTTGATTTGTGGAGCTGTCTGCGTTCACACCAATCATTATTTCTCATAGCAATGTTATATAACATTTAGGGTAACATATAATCTACTTATCTAATTAAAATTCATTATCATTACGGTGTTTAATAACGACAATTAGTATAATTTACACTAAGGTTATAATTTACTTCTTTTAAAACCATGATAATGATATTGGAAAATATCGAAAGTACTAAAAAATAGCTAAGTTACAATTAAACAGTTTAAAAACAAGTAACTTATTACCTTCTATTAATATTTCAATTATTAACTAAGTTAACTGCTTTAGATTAAATTGTAAAATTATGAAAATGATGTTATGATCACGGGTATATTCACAATTGTAATAATTCAACCACAAAGAACATATATATATATATATATACACATATATATATATATATATATATATATATATATATATATATATATATATATATATATCATTATAAAGAAAAAAGACAATAGGAAAACTGTATTGTGAGCCGCATTTCACGCGTTTCGTCCAATGTGGACTTTTTCAAGGCAAAAACGAAATACATTTATTAAAACAAAGTAGTTATTAACAACAAAACAAAATGTCCTTAGCAAATGGATAAATTTAGAAAACGCTATTGTATTCATCCATGTTAATTCAGAGAAATTTTTCATATAATATATATAAATATATATATATATATATATATTAATTATAAAGATGTTAAATACGAACAAGTATGTGTGTGTGTTCACTTTATATATATATATATATATATATATATATATATATATATATATATATATATATATATATGTATGTACATATATATATATATAAAAGTGAACATCGAAGTCAACACTTAGAGGCGACAGGCTGTTTCATGCTCGAAGCAATCGTCAGGCTTTGAAGTGTTGACTTCAATGTTCACTTTTATATTTACACACGCTTTATCTCTGACATTGAGCATTTTATCCCATAAATATAGCACATCATAAGAGTATATTTCTTCATATATATATATATATAGAGAGAGAGAGAGAGAGAGAGAGAGAGAGAGATAGATAGATAGATAGATAGATAGATAGATAGATAGATAGATTAGTCAGGTGGGATGATAGGATAGCCAGAAAAAGACAAAGCTGTGTCTGCCTTGCATGACAACTGAGGTACAACTGCACCACACCGCGTGCTAGACACCATCACTGGATCAGGAAAGTTGTGGGAGGAAATAAAAGAAACAAGCTACCGACAAGGAAATACGAAGTACTTTAAACATTTTGGGAGGGGAGGGTAATACAACACCCCCATGTGACTAACGCAGGTTTAACCTTCTCCATCGGATTCTTGAGCTCCTCCATCGCTGTTTGTCTTTCATCACGTGACAGGCTGTCTCGAAACAGATGCCAGGGAGCTTTTCGTCTCTCTTGCAAAATCTCTTTAATCCCTGCATTATGGTCATCGAATGAAATCTTCGTGTTTCGTCTCCACAAAACCTGAAACAGCACTCGTGAATTCATAGGGCTATTCTTTAAAAAGCTTATGTCTCTTCATAGTCAGCTTCGTCAAAGGAACTAATACATATATACATACATTTATTTTTTATCCTTTTAAGTTATTTTTTAATAAATAAATATACTGTTTAATAAGTAAAGTGTCTATTCAAATATGAGTAGATACTTTACTTATTAACCCATCAACTGCCAAATTCTTATTTAATGTGCATTTTTGGCCAAGACAGGTTTCTTAGGAGTTTATTTATTCCTTATGTTTAATTTCAGTAGTTACCATTGTCATTTTTATAGAAACTAGAACATCATATATATATATATATGTATAAAACATAAAATAATATTGATTAGAAATAATATTGATTAGAAATAATAAAAATACTTTTCAAAATAGTCATTATTTTTTTACTCGGGAAATGTAAAATTACGACAGAAAGTGTCTTCTTACGGCTAATAATAAAAACTTTGAAGGCTAAGTGTTGTAAAATATACCTTTGCAAATGCAATGTATGTAAGCAATTCAATGTAAATACAAGGAATAACATGTAATGAGTTTAATTTTAACTGATCCCCAAATGGGGCTCATGGCAGGTAAAGGGTATATTTATTTTCGCCTACTGGCCCGAATGTTCGATAAAAATTATTAAAGAAAAATAGACGCTCTCCGACAGGATTCGAACCTACGTCCCACTGGGCAGAGAAAGCTATAGGTTAAATCGGATACGCTATGACCAATTGAGCTACAGAAAAACCAAACGTTCTACCTTATAGATACGTATGTAGGTAAACAAACAGAAACGCTCATACATACTTAATGGCCGGGATACCTCGACGTGGTCTATTGGTTAGCAGACTTATCACGCTGGATCAAAAACGACAGATGACTGAGTTCGATCCTCATTTGGGTACCCCTTACTTTTGGCTTTGTGCCACATTCAAGCTAAGCGGAGAAAATCACCAAGTACAATGGCCGGTTATGTCTAGCCAATCCGTGTAGCTCAGGCACATTTGTTTGTTCAATATCCCCAGTGCCCACGTGCAAGTATGCATATCAATACCCCCAGAGCCCACCTGCAATTCTACATATCAATACCACCAGAGCCCACATGCAATTCTACATGTCAATACCACCAGAGCCCACATGCAATTCTGCCTATCAATACCCACAGACCCCACCTGCAACTGTGCATATCAATACCCCCAGAGCCCACCTGAAACACTGCATATCGATACCTCGCGCGCACACCTCAACGTTGCATATCAATACCCCAAGAGACCAGCTGCAATTCTGCATATCGATACCACCAGAGCTCACCTGCAACTCTGCATATCGATACCTCCAGAGCCCACCTGCAATGCTGCATATCAATATCCACAGCCTCCTGCATTTCTGGATATCAATACCCACAGATCCCACCTGCAACGCTGCATATCGATAACTCCAGAGCCCACCTGCAACGCTGCATATCAATACCCACAGAGCCCACCTGTAACGCTGCATATCAATACCGCCAAGGCCCACCTGCAACGCTGCATATCGATACCCCCAGAGCCCACCTGCAATTCTGCATGTCGATACCCACAGAGCCCACCTGTTGTTTATACTTCAACTCTGCTGATCAGCAGTTTGAACAAGGCCAGTACGCTCAAACCTTCGGTCACGATGACTTGTGAATTCATGCTTGTACAATTATCGACACCTCTTGAATAGTACTGTCTGTTCAAAATCACTCACAAGGTCAATCCTCGGTGTGGTTTTCAAGAAATCAAGAATTCACGACAAATCGATCACGTTGAGATTCGAACTAGAAGCCACACGCACACACATATATACATACATTTTTTATCACTTTAAATGTTATTTTGTAAAGGATACTCGTATTTGAGTAGACGATCCGTTTACTTATTAAACAGTGTATTTATTTATTTTCGTCTGAATGTTCTAGAAATCTTATTAAAGAAAATCTACGCTCTCCGGCAGGATTCGAACCTGCGTCCCTCTGGGACGAGGGAACTATTTTTAAATCCGATACGCTCTGACCAACTGAATTACAGAGAATCAATTACTCAGGCAAATAATTGCACCTTTAAGCGAAAATTTCTCTCGTCATTGACCTTCCAAAATTTTTCATATCTTAACAGTTTCCTATCCAAATGTAAAAAAAAAAGCGAATTTCATAGAATGTAATAGACTTTTTTTTATTAATTCGACAGATTTTTTATGACTTTAAACAAAGTGATTAAAATCTGCAGGATTAATAAAAAAAATCTATTACTTTCTCTAAAATACATTTATTCAAAAGATTACAACAGGGTAAATGGAAAGACTAAACAGAAAAGGAAAGAATTGTCTAAGGAAATGAGAGTTAAAATGCATTGAAAGAATAAAAGTCAATACTCGGCGTTGGATTCGTTTCTCCTCAAACGATGTCAGAGAGTGTGATCTCATGGACTGAACTTGCCGACAAATATTTAGTTGTGGATTTCAAGGTACCACAGAAAATAAATCGATGACCAACTTAGTTTTCGGGTCAATATTTGTTAAATTGTTTCAATGGCCGTCTTTAGTTTTTCATTTGCGTAAAAAAAAAGAATGTTCCACCGTTTGTTTGTTTTTTGGGGTTTTTTTTAAAGTTGTCTGTTTTTTTAACCTTTTTCAATCAGTCTTTCTTATTTATTTGTTTTCTTTCTCTCCATTCTTTCTTTCGTTCATTCTTTTCTTACTTTTCCTCTTTCCATCATTTTTTGTTTCCTTTCTTCTTTCATTCTTTCTTCTTTCCCAACTTTTCTTTTTTGGCTATTCCTTTTCTTTCTTTCTTTCTTTCTTTCATTCTTTTCTTACTTTTCCTCTTTCCATCATTTTTTGTTTCCTTTCTTCTTTCATTCTTTCTTCCTTCCCAACTTTTCCTTTTTGCTTTTTTCTTCTTTCCTTCTTTATTTCCTTCCTTCTTTTCTTACTTTCCATCCTTATTTCATTCTTTCTTTCTTTCTTTCTTTCTTCGCATCTTTCTTTTCTTTTTTACTTTCCTTCTTTCTTTCCTTCTTTTCTTATCTTTCTTCTTTCCATCCTTCTTTCTTTCTTCTTTCTTCCCTTCCTTCTTTTCTTTGATTTTCTTTTTCTCTCCTACTTTCTTTCCTTCCTTATTTTCTGAACTTTTGTTTTATTTTTCTTACCTTCCTTCTTTCTTTTTCCGTTTTTCACCCCTTCCTTCTTTTCTTGTTTTGCTTTTCTTCCTCTTTTATTCTTTCTTTCATCTTTTCTTTTCTTACCTTCCACCTTTCTTTCCCTCTTCCTCTCTTTCCTTCTTTTTCTCATTCTTTCTTTACCACCTTCTTTCCTTATCTTTCTTCTTTCTATCATTCTTTCTTTCGTTCCTTTCTTCTTTCTTTCACCCCTTACGTCTTTTTTTTTTTTTGGGGTGGAGGATCTTTTTCTTTCCTTCCTAACTTTTTTTTTATCTTCCGTTATTCTTTCCTTCTTCCTCTCTTTCTTTTTTCCCCATTCTTTCTTTCCTCCCATATTTTCCTAGCGTTCTTCTTTCCATCTTTCTTTCTTTTATTCTTTTCTTATTTCCTTCTTGCTTCCCTTCCTTCTTTTCTTGTTTTGCTTTTCTTTCCTTCTTTCTCCCATTTTCTTTCCTTCCTTCCATCGTTCTTTTTTCCTCTTTCTTTCCTTCATTCTTTCTTTCTTTCTTTCTTTCATTTCATCCTTCATTCTTTCGTTCTTTCTTTCTTTCTTTCTTTCTTCTTTTCACTCTTTTTTTCCCTTCCTTCTTTCCTTTTTTTACTTCTTTTTTTCTGTCTTTCCTTCCGTCTTTTTTTTCCTTCCTTTGTTCAGATTTTTTCTTTCTTTTTTATTTTGAATTTAAGAGTATTATGGCTTTTTTTATGTAAGAACTTCGATCGGCTTTTAAAGTTTTCAATATCGCAAAAACAGTCTACTTCACGTCAAGCATTAGCGGACCAACGTTAATTTTAAAAAACAAAAGATCCCTAGTGCGTCCATGTCGGCAGATTTGGGGCAAATATATATATATACCTGCACTGAAGTAGAAACATTATTTTGGGAGTATTTAACGGTGTTTTGATATCATTCTACATGGTACCAATGGTACCATGTAATCCAATACTAGCTGCCGTATGATCGAGTCGTCGGCGACTGAGACTGTTCCTTCACTATGTATGCTTTTCTGGTGAGGAGAGTGGCTAGACACAAAACGGTTAAAAACAAGATCTATCAAAGAGCAGGTGAACTTTCTTGTATGGTCAACTGTCGTCTAACACAATCGGCTCCATATCTCTGTATGCAGCAAGTGCGGTGATGGCACTGCATAGATGGGTGGAGGACTTCTTGAGATGAATTAAACAGCAAAGGCGTTGAGGGTGGGGTATCCCGATGGGATAGACAGCTATGTTTCTGTGGTCAAGGCAATCCTTCAAGATGGAGGACATCGGCAGTGGTTTGACCTGGTTTACTTAACAAAGACACGCTTTCAGTTATGTGCCATGTGTGATACACGCTTAGGCGATCATGTATCTTTCGATACATGACTGACGAGGCATATTTTTTCCCCGCAGTAGGTTGCCATTTCTTTCTAGACCAGTTGCTATGCACGGCTATATAGAACCCGGTCTATTTACCCATAGCTGGTGGGGGAGAAGAAGAGGATTCATATCTTTCCCAAGGGTATTAGCACGCAAGTTAATGTAATGGATTTGACTGGAATTCGAACCCAGCTCACCGATTCCGCAATCCGAGCCGCTATCCATTACTCCACCGTACACATAAATAAATGCCTATCCACCATTCAACTCATATATGTGGAGGGAACTGGTCAAGTGCTCACTTGCTCGGTGACCCAACGACCACACCTGGTCATGATTATGATGCTCATAGTGTTTTAACGTTATCTGGTACTTCAATATCTGCCTCTCTACTGTTAAAGGTCGTAAAATTTTTATCTGTATTTCGGGAGTTGGTTTGCATCTTTTCTGGCTTAGATGGTTCATTGCAAAGGCCAAATTGTTTTCTTTCTTCTTCTTTTTTTTTTTAAATACATCCGTTTTTGTTCAAATGTTCATGACGGGCGTCGAATGTACTTTATTGGTACCGTCTGCTGTTTCGGCTAGTTTGCAGTTGGGTTATTTTTCTTAGTGTCACTTGATAGCTTATACATAGTAGGCTGTAATTCATAGAACATGTACCCAGTAGGCCTTCATTCGTCGTATTAATTGCAAAGTCGTGAAAAGGCTTCGCATTAGGGCTTCGTCCCACTTTTCAATGCGCTAGATGTGTCTAACCGCTCGGCTACGTAGGACTTACAGTCAAATAATATAACAAATAGTGCCTTTTGAACACCCACTCTCTGCCCGAGGACGCATATATTCTGACAAGAATTCTCGAATATTCAGGCCAGTATATGTAATTGGATAAAAAATACTGTTTAATTTCAAAAACTACTCGAATATGCGTATCGATCAAAAATAACGTTTAAACAAGATAAATTAAAAGTAACAATATGTCGGTTTTAATCAATTTCCTAAAAATAAAATTGTCTTTGTTTACGTTAGGATACGATACAGAACAGATATGGATGTTTCGAGAATCGGGAGAGAGTATATTTTCAGAAGGCACTATTCGGGCAATCTTTGACCGAAAGTCCTACGTGGCCGAGCGGTTAGGCACGTCAGATACAATGACGGTTCCCCATATGCGTTACAAATTCGAATCCTGTCGGAAGACACATTTTTCTGACAAGACTTCTCGAATATTCAGGCCGGTAGATGTAATTCGATAAAAAAAAAAAAAAATACTGCTTAATTTTAAAAAAAAACAAAAAAAAACAAAAAAAAAACAGAGTTTCTATTCATGAAAAATAACGTTTAAAAAAATAAACTAAAAATAACAATATGGCGGATTTAATCCATTTCCTAAAAATAATATATATATAAAGACATTTTTTTTATGTTTATACGTTTTTTTTATAGATACAAATATTTAAGTAAATGCTCTGTTTAAAATAAACAGTATTAACGACCTGAATGTCCAAGAAATTTTCACAGAAAATATACGTCCTCCGACAGGAATTGAACCTGTACCTTATACGGAACGATCATATAGCCTGACACGCTTTTAACTATTGTGCCACAGAGGAGCATTTCAGTTAACAAGGTCGATTTTATTGTTTTTAAACTATAATTCTCCATGATTTGTCGTTAATACTGTTTATTATAAACAGTATTTCATTAAATATTTGTATCTATAAAAAGAACGTATAAACAAACATAAAAAATGTCTTAAAATAATTGTCGGACTTTGTCCATTTCATAATATATATATATATATATATATATATATATATATATATATATATATATATATATATACAAAGACAAGAGTAAGTAAAAAATTATCCGCACTTTCACAATAATGTAACTGCTTTGAATATACGCTCTTTTAGCGCTAGATGGCGTCGTCAGTGATGTTCTGGAGATGGATCTGAGCATTTTCGGGTCTTTCAAACCTCATACTGACCTCACCAAATCGACCCCTTCAGAGCTGATCAGATTCTGAAACGACCCCTAAAAAATGCTTGTAGACACTGACTTCTATAAATACCCCGTTATCGCACATTTGATTGGAGAATGACCAACAGCCAATCGCAACGGTGCGAAATCTATTTAAGCCGTTTACGAGTGATTTTTTTCTTTTTTTCATTTTTTTCTTTCAGTGGACACCCCTTCATCAGATACTTAGAAGGTAATTATGTTTTCCGTTTTTACCCACTTCCTATCAAGTTTCATTTCACCAGCTAATAATTACTATTTACAGAGATAAAAAAAAATACGGCCATTAAAATTAATAAATAAATTACAGCGAATTAAGCCGAGGGTGCTTATAAATATAATGAAACGTTTAAAACTGTTTACAAATAAAAAAAAAATAAAATAAAATAAATAAATTATAGCGAGTTAAAACCGAGAGATCTTATAAATTACATAATAGAACATTTAAAACATGTTGACGAATAAAAAAATAAAATAAAATAAAATAACTAAACAATTAATAGTTTACAGCGAGTTAAACCGGGAGGGCTTAAAAATATCGTAATAAAACGTTTAAAACATATTAACGAATAAAAAACTAATAATCTCGTTTATGCGATTAAAATGAATAAATAAATACAACGAATTAAACCGAGAATGCTAATAAATATCTTATGTATTATTTACAATGGCTGACAAATGATCCGTGTAAAAAAAAATAAATAAATAAAAAATAAAATAAAAATAAAATAAAAACGTCTGTTTTCGATTGTACGTATTTACAAACCGACTACGGCATTTCTAGATAGTTAAAACATTAGGTTTGTCACACGGTCTTCTGCTCATGCGTGTTCATAGTTGGCTCTAGTATGGTCACGTGGTCGAAGTTTGCGCTTGTTCACGCCAGTTTTCATGTTGCCGCTATTACAGTCTAAACATGCCGCTCCGCTAGAAGTCTCCGCCAAGGAGGGTCAAAGAGCAGTGATCCGAATCTACGGAGAGAATGCTACCTCACTGAAAATAAATTGTCAGTTTACTATCAGTCGAGCTTGCTGAATCTTCTCGTCAGTGGTGGAGGTTGATGTGCATCCTACCTCCTTCGTGCGTCACGCTTCTCCGGCCACTTTTAAACCTCTTCATCCACTCATACACACTTACGAGGCAGTGCAGCCTCGCCGTATCGTGTTAAAAACACCCAATAAATTTCAGTTCCCGACACACCTTCCGACCTGAAAAATCAGATCACTGCCCTTTGTTCCTCCTTGGTGCAAACTGCTAGCGGAGTGGTCATGTTTAAACTGTAATAGCAGCAAGAAAACTGGCGAGATCAAGTTGAAACTTCGATCAGGCGATCATGATAGTACCAACTATAAGTACGCGTGAGCAGTTGACAGTATCACAAACCTAAAGATATATTTTTGCGAAAGTACGGATAATTTTTGACTTACTCTCATATATATATATATATATATATATATATATATATATATATATATATATATACCGGGGGTGTAACAGCAAAAGTGTCCAAATCGCGTAACAGCAAAATTGTCCAATTGTTAGATTAAGTTTTGAACCGTTGTATCTTAGAAATGATTAAATATATCTTACTGGAATTCTCCGAGTTTTTTATAACACTATTGGACTCTATTTTGAGCAACAAGAATGTGTAATTATTCTCCAAGCTTAATAAAAGAATCGTGATGAAATCGATCGTAAACGTTAATGACATGTTCATCATTAATTAATCATTGCTAACGATCGGAAGCCCGTGAAGGATTGAAATAAAGTTCAAATATATATATATATATATATATATATATTATAATAATATTTTTTGTTTAAAATATGATTCCTTCGCTACATAAAAAGTTCTCATGTTTCTTATGTGGCAGAAGGAATCATATTTAAAAAAAAAATTATAATATAAGCTCTACTTCTGTATGGGGCACTGTCTTCTTAAAAAAATAAAAACAAAAATACTAAGGAACGGATCATGCCCCCCAACGTATGTTCTTTTCTATTTTCTGCATACCTACGCACTTATATATATATATATATATATTATTCCAAGGTCATTTTAAATCTTGGATACAAAATGATCTTCGCCCTATCTAACCTTCTAACTTTCTGTCCTGGAGTAACAAGGTAACCCCTCTCTCACGGATTGAGTTGGATCTTTTCTAATTGATCTCTTTAGCTCTAAGTTGAAATGATGATCCCTATTCCTGTTGTGACCTCCTGATCCAATTTACCTCTCTACCGTTCCCTCTTTTTTAAACTTATTCACCGCTCTCTTGATTTGTCTTGAATGGACTTTGAAGATAGACGCGTAATTATAAATGTTGGTACCATTACTGAAAGCCTGAATGAATTTTTCCTCTCACCATTTCTCATTTTCAGAATGCTTTAAAAATTCCATTTACAAGACAATTGTTTATAATAAAATTCTATTCAATCGGTAGACTCATAACGATTGAAAACAATGTTTTTGTTCGAGTTTGGGTTTGACCAATTCGTAAAAAAAAAAAAAAAAAAACTAATTAAGACATGCGTGTCCATCAACCTTAAACAATAATCTTTGTCAATTTTATTTTTCAGTCTTTATGATGGTCGATACTTGATCTATCTCTTATTGTTACATCCCCGGGCAACGCCGGTCTCTACCGCTAGTTGTAAATATTCATTGGGGTTTCACTTTTAAATGTGGTTATTTCTATTACCCTCCCCCCACACACTCATAACGGATATATGGTAACTAATTAAGACTTCTTAAAATCTTTGAGGCACTATGATGGCTGGAATAAGAATGGTAAGTAACAATGTGCTGTTTTGACGTAAGGAATACTGTGGTATGTTTGGGTCAGTAATTGTGGCTTGCAAGTTTAAGATAAGACAGATTGAAGACCGGCTTTACCCTATCCCCTCTTTTGGCCTTGTGCCACATTTTTGCATTTGCAAAATAAATATTACTTTCCTCTGCGGTACCTCGATTTTATGAATTTTGGTAACAAAGAAAAGAATACTAAACTGTTACGTGACATCTGTCCTTCTTTACGGCAGCGAATGTTGGACGATTTCCTCAAAGATGAAGAAGAGACACGAAGCGACGGAAATGTGATTCTACAGAAAAGCAAAGGATACCATGGACCGAGCGTGTGGGTAACGATGAAATCTTAAAGAGGTTGCAAACAAGGAGGAGGCTAATACTTAATATCAGCAAGAGGCAGCTGAAGTTTCTGGGACACATAATGAGGAAAGAGGGCCTGGAGAATCTGATACTCACGGGTTGAATAGAGGGAAAGAGAGACAAAGAAGAAGGAGGCTTATACTTAATATCAGGAAGAGGCAGCTGAAGTTTGTGGGACACATAATGAAGAAGGAGGGCCTGGAGAATCTGATACTCACAAGTAGAATAGAGGGAAAGAGAGACAAAGGAAATACCTAGCGGACTTAAGCAAGTGGATGACAGAACGTGGTCTGGGGGGGGGAAGCAGAGGGAAGGAACTTGTGGAGAGCTGCAAGGGATAGAAGGAGGTGGAGAGCCATGATCGCCTACGTCCTAAAAGAACATGGCACATAAAAAGAAAAGAAAGGCTAGATTGGCGACAAGGTCTTATCATTTTACAATTGAACTGCCTATATATAACCGTAAGTTCTATGCTAACAGTTTCTTCTATCGCACTTCTCACTTGTGGAACACTTTTCCGGCTTCTTTCTTCCCAATCAACTTTGATCCTCCAAAATTTAAATGTCAGTCGTTATCTTATGTCCTCTCTCCTTAATAGTAGCTTTTCTCATATTCACTCAGTAACACCCCCTTTCATCTTAGTGGCTTTATTGCCTTGCTTGGTGTGAAAGGGTTATATGAAAAAATAAATGAAGGAAAGTTGCTTAATTCTTATGCAGAGACCGGAAGATGTCATCCGGTGAAATTATAAAATCATTTTTTCCATCGGAAGTGGAAGGGCTGAGGAAGGTGTCCTCCAGAAAAGGAAATACCGAGTGGGTCTGGTCAAATTTTGTAACTCGTCCCATGTGCGCGTGACTCGAATTTTAACAGACTTTGTGCTACATCCCATTCGTGTAGGCGTTTTTAGACAGACATCGAAGTGATGATCTTTTTTAAGTGTTAAAAATAAATTAAAAAAAATTTAGAAAATAAAAAACAAAGCAAGCCTGACGTACACACATTTTTTTTTTTTTTTTTTTTGAACCCGAAGTCCCACTTCTCGACACAATTGGTCTTGTGCCTTATATAAGTTTCACTGAAGAACGCGGACGAAGCGGGAAAGAAATCGACCAAGTTATGTGCCTTGGAAAGACCTAATTCGAACAGGCTCGGGAGGAAGTAAATATTTAACGAGAGCGTTACAAATAGAGAAAACGAAAAAAAAAAAAGCAAAAAACCCAGAAAACAGAAGATACTAGCCTCCAGATAAGGCTATGCTGTGAGAGAAATATTTAACCGAGTGAGTGCAACGCTAAAATTTCCTGAGTGCTTTTCATCAGAAAGAACTGCTCTCGTGAAATAAAACGAAAATAGCCTGCAGTTCATGTTACGGAAATTCGATTTTTTTTTATTTTTATCTTCC